GGGGGTGTTTAAAGGCCCGGGGTGACCTTGCAGGGTTTCCTGAGCCCGGGAATCTCCTGGGAATTGGGAACAGCAGGATCCTGTCCCCAAGGTCAGCTCGGGGGAGGAGAGCTGCAAATCCTCCCTGGGATTGGGGAAAAATCCATTTTCCCAAAGTCTGGGGTGGGAAAAATCCGTGCTCCCAAAGTTTGTTCCCAAAGCACCTCTGCAGTTCAGCATCCAGGGGAGGAATCCTGGAATATCCCGGATTTTGGAGTGTCCCAAATCCTGGAATATCCCGAATTTTGGAGTGTCCCAAATCCTGGAATATCCCGGATTTTGGAGTGTCCCAAATCCTGGAATATCCCGAATTTTGGAGTGACCCAAATCCTGGAATATCCCGAATTTTGGAGTGTCCCAAATCCTGGAATATCCCGGATCGTCCTGGTTTCTCAGAGTCCCGGAGCTCGGGAGGGCTCAGAATTTGGGGAGGGGGGGGAAAGCAGAGGGGAAGGAGCCGAGGAGTGACTTCAGTTTATGAGCCCCAAATTCCCCCAGACAGAAACACAGAACTGAGACACAGACAGACAGACAGACGGACAGACACACGGACACAGACACAAATAGCACAGACAGACACACGGACACACACGGACACAGACACACACGGACAGACAGACACAGATAACACAGACACGCACAGATAGCACACACAGACACACGGACACACACAGATAGCACAGACGGACAGACACACAGCACGGACAGACAGACAGACACAGATAGCACACACAGACACACAGACACACAGACAGACGGACAGACAGACACAGATAGCACACACAGACACACAGACAGACGCACGCAGCACTCCCCGGGCTGCTGCAGGCTGATAAAAGGGAAGGGAGCAGCCCTGGAGGAGGGGCCGGATCCGCAGGATTTGGGTTCTCGGCCCCTCTCGTGCTCCACTCCTGCAGCTCTGGGCTCTGTCTGAGCCCCCGCACCCTGCGATTTTGGGGGTTTTGGGGTTTTTTTGGGGTTTTTTTGGGGTTTCTCACGCAGGGAGGGCAGCAGAGCCAGGCTGGGCTCTCAGCTGACTCAGCGTGGCCAGGGCTGGCTCACATTTCATCCCTGTGCTGCTCACACTCATTTCATTCCTGTCCTGTTCATATTCACTCTCATTCCTGTCCTGTTCTCTCTCATTTATATCCTGCTCACTTTTATTTCATTTTTTATCCTGCTCACTCTCATTCCTGTGCTGCTCACACTCACTCTGATTTTTGTCCTGCTCACTTTTATTTCATTTTTTATCCTGTTCACTCTCATTTCATTTCTGTGCTCTGGGGGCTCCCCTGGGGCAGGATCTCCCCCAGCCCCTCTCTCTGTGTCCCTGGGGCCACACCTGGGGCCACACCTGGGGACATTCGTGTGACAGCAGTGCCCTCATTCCACAGGCAGGGGGTTTCAGTGCTGGGTTTGTGCTGGGTTTTATCTCTTTATTATATTTTTTTAAATCTTTTTTTTCTTTTTTTAATCTTTTTTTTTCTCTTTTTTTACCAGGGAATGAATCCCTGTGGAGGCAGCACCAGGAAGGAGCCTCGGAGCAGCTGAGGAGGAGAAGGAGGAGGAGGGGACCCCCCAAAATCTGCACCCAAACCCCAAAATCTGCACCCAAACCCCGCTGTGACCTCCTGCCCCACTGACAAATGTCAACAGCTCGGTAAATCCTGCCTCAGTCCTGCCCAAAATGAGCCCAGGACGGGGGGGTGAGGGGCACAAAAATCCAGAATTCCCAAGAGAAATCATCCCTGTGGAAACAGAGAAATTTGGGTCTGGATCTGGAGGATGAGGGGCAGAAAAATCCATTTTTTATTCCCAGTGTGGCCAAGATAAATCACGATCCATGTGGAAACAGAACTTGGGAAATTTGGATTTGGATCTGGGGCTTCAGGGGAAATACCCTGAAATACTCAGGGCTGGTGGTTATTGTAAACAAAAATTATTTTTTTTCCTTTTTCCTCACACAAAACTCTTAAGTGTGCAGGAGAGGAAGATACAAAGCTGCACATGTTTGGGATTTTTGTTTTCCTGTCCTTTCCCTCTCATCCCTGTTTGGGATTTTTGTTTTCTTGACCCTTTTTTCTTTTCCTGTCCTGTTTTTTAATTTTCCTGCCCCTTTTCTCTCATCCCTATTTGAGATTTTTGTTTTCCTGTCCCTGCCCTCTTATCCCTGTTTTCCTGGCCCTTTTTTCTTTTCCTGTCACATTTTTCTTTTCCCATCCCTCTCCTCTCATCCCTATTTGGGATTTTTGTTTTCCTGTCCCTTTTTTTT